ATCCTCGATGTGCTCGGCATAATGGCCAGCATTTTCCATTTGCACGAAACGACCCTGCGCCATGCAGTACGGACACCGACGTGGGGCTGCAAGAATGCCTTCTGAAATGATGGGGCCGTAAATAATGTCGGGATTGTTGGTGTGCTTTGTGCAATGCTTGCCCCAGTCAAGGTCACTTAGAAGCCAGAGCCCACACTCAACACAAAACCTAGCCCGTGTTGGTATCGTCATCTGGGTATGCACGTCGTGGCTTGTGGCAAGATGTGCATGAATTTCAGCCACGCAATCAGCTTGAAATTTGCATGAATCCCATTGACATGAGATACAGCCCGTCGGGAGGTGGTCGCTCATATGGGTTGCCACCGCCTCCGCATGATCGATTTGGCCAGAAGTGCATGAACCCCACTTGCAGCTCCAGTACTTCTGTTGCAGACCAGCAGTGAGTCTCTTTTCCATCTCGTAGTTCTTACTTTTCTGCGAACATTTGAGCAGGTGGGACTTCATTGGGATACTAATTGCAATAAGCATAACCTCAGGAGCGTGCAGATACACAGCTATGCAGAACGCTTACCGTTTAAGTTGAACTCCACACCAAGGACAGCTCCCTGATGTATCAGGCGAAGCATCTGGATAAAATGGCTCATGCGCTTTGGGTGCAGCGGCCCCGACAAATGGCCATAAGATATCGAGGATTGTACTATATGGGGCATATGCCCCATATAGATAAGAGATAATAATCGAACGCGTTATGTCATATTTGAGTTGGATATCTAACACAGGCGGTAGTGGATAGGGAGACTTAAGGCAGTTTGCGGATGTGTGGAATGTTCTCGCCTCCCAAAACATATGGGAGGCGGGGACCAATTCTGATGCTAGCAGCGTAGATGCAAACTCACCCTGCCCGCGTCCAATTAAAATTAGCGAGACGCCAGAATCGACACCTATATAATCAGCGCTGCGCTAGTGTGATATCTCAAGCATACTTACGTCGTTTTATACGTTGTGTGGCATTCCTGGTATCCCGAAGGATCGCCGCGAAAGTGTCTCCGTGTCCAGCGCGGTCTAACTGTGCCTGCATCATTCTATATACCGCGGATGGCTTCATAACGCAGGACGAGATTACTCTAGACTTGTTTCCAGTTCGTCGAAGTACTGGCAGGTGTGACAACTCCTGCTTGTAAGGAAGGAGTAGCCACCCAGACCATTCATGATTGCAGAGCGAGAATATGTCGCTGCTGGTGCTAACGCCGTCGATGACTTTATCCGCAATAGCCATGGAAAGAAACAATGTGACGGGACACATATAGCGCTTGTTAGGGTTATCAATTAGGAGCATTGTTCGCCTTTAGTAGGGGATTAGTTTGATTTGTGCAGAAACGTGATGGCTAATCTCTTACCTGCTCTTCTTGTCTCTATTCTCCAGACTCCGCAACAATCAATCGGATCGGCATGATTGATTCCTATCTAGGTTAAAGGCTGCCTAATGAAGTAATTCTTTAACCTATATAGGAATCAATCATGTCAATCGATTGATTGTTGCGGAGTCTGCTATTCTCTAAGCGAAGAACGAGTAGAGCTCTTATATTATTATTGTGACGCGTTATAAAAATCTTGGTGTCGTGATAGTGAAGACCTTCGCTAAGAGCAACTCTAGGCTGTAGCCCTAAGTGAAAGATTAAGAGAATGGTAAAGGCAACCTGGAGCCTATAACGTGGATGATCAAAACTAAATATGTCGCGAGTCCAGATGTACGAGAAAAGGTCGTTCAAATCAGCTTCCTTTAACTGTGGTTTAAGTGGCTGGAACTCTTGGGCGTGGTAGGGCGCTGAGCAAAATATATTGGTATTCGAAGCGGTCAACATTTTGAACTAGCTGCTGAGCGACATTTACATTGCATTGTTCTACTGTTTATGTAGTGGTAAGATGTATAATAGTTTATTCATCCTGTGGTGTTACTGGATCTGGTTGCAGTAAACGGGTCCACGCATCTCTCCAGCACCACGCCACGACTACCACTAACCGTCCCCGTTTCCACACCCGCAGTACCTGTTTACTGTTATATTCCCCTTCTACATATGCAGAGGATGGACAAATCGAGGATTTCCAAGCAGCATCCGGAAATCCAAGAGGTAGTAGTCTCGTTTTTGTTACTTCGTTGTAACGCCGTCGCCTATAAGCTTATTAATAGGCCGGGCGAGCCTACCTAGGCACGACAATCAAAAGGATACAACAAACGGAACAACGCCAAGAGTATGAGAAATACAAAGCAAGAGCAACCGCTCTAAACAAAGCTACCTACTCAGCCAAATACCCTCTTAAAATCAGCAAAACCATCCAAATGCCACAGAACACGAAAAGAGTAACCTCTAGCGCTTTCTACTCTCTTAAGCTAGGACACGGATACTTCAACTCCTACCTAAAGAGATTTAAGAAACGAGACTCTAATCGCTGCACCTGCCAAAACATCCAAACGCCAGAACACCTACTACTGTACTGCCATCTATACAAAGACCATCGAAAAACGCTCCTACAAACAATCAAACATCGCCCAGTCACACTACCACTACTACTCCACACTAGTATAGGTATAGAAGCAACCCTAGCTTTTATCACTAGCACCAGAATAGGAACAAGAAAATGGTACCTAGGACAGCCACCAGAAGACCTACAGAGAGACACTGTATAAAACTAAAACCACAACCCTCTCCTTTGCCACAAGAGCCCGCTGCTACATCTCTTTCTACTTATCAAACTGCTCTTTAGCACCTGGCAACAAACAGATACAAGCTATCTTTTGTAGAAAAGCCAAAAACCATATTAGCGAACCATACCAGAAAACCATGTAAATTAGAAAAACCAAGATAGAACGGCCTTCGGCCAAAGTCCTACATAGTCTCTGACTGAAAAAGGACTCTAATGGAATAATAATAATAATAATAATAATAATAATAATAATAATCAGCCTCACGGCTACCAGGGGTGATAGGCTTACTCATGAGCGACCGGATCGAAGCCCTATTGACCGTATCAATCGTAGTAGGGTACTCAGGGGACTCTGGCGTTGTATTGCGGAACTTTTTGAGCACTTGCTCGGCGTTAAATGGAGCAATACCAGTGGTCGAAAATGAGCTTCGGACGTTGGCGACAGTGAAGGAGGCATCCTTAAATAGGTGGTAGAAGTCGACCTTCTTAAGGGATAGTAGCCCTTGTGTCTTCTCTATAGACTCCGCAACAATCAATTCAATCCGGTCACTCTCCTAGACCCACTTACCTATCTAGGTAGGGCTTAAACTCCTATAGGTAACTACTAGGCTTAAAGCGGTAATCAATCAATCCAATCTGAACCTTCTAGGACCCACTTAATTGATTGTTGCGGACTGTGCTTCTCTAGGTAATCTTCTAAGGCCGTGCTATACGCTCTGCTAAGGGGGGAGAAGAGGCCTACATCTAGCGGCTGCAACGTATGAGTACTATGAGGAGGTAGCAACAGGGGTAGGATCCTCTGGGGACGACAGTAGTCCATAAACTCCTGTGTATGATGGGATGAGTGGCCATCTAGAAGGAGTAATCGATGACGTAGGGGGTTCTTGTCCTTGGTATACCTATCAAACACTTCCCTCAGCCAAGCTACCCCCATGTCGTTGTTGCTCCATCCCGTCTGGGTTGTGCCAACCATCACCTCATCGTCCTCGTACTCTATATTCTTTGTCCAGCGTTCTTGAATGTTGCCAGAAGTTGAGCTATACAGTACGCTTGGTGGCAGCGCACTCCCATCAGCACAAACGGCTGCTATCACCGTCAACCACTCCCTTGACCCATCTTGAATGGGTTGACGACGTCCTCCTCGCTCCCATGAGTCTCTACTAAAGACTCTGTGGCTACCTTCACCTCTACCAAGGTGGAAGCCCTTCTCATCCATATTGTATATATCAGACGGTCGGCAGTGGTATTTGCGAAGGATTTTGTCGAGATCGCGAAACCACCACTCGTATTTGTATAGGGAATCTGCCCTGTGGCGGAGACGGTCCTTCCCCTTGCCGTGATGCGACTTCAGCTCATCTTTGTGACGGGCGAGGAAGCGCGTCACCCAAGTTTCTGAGGCAGGCTTCCCGGCGATTGAGGCGCATAAATTCCGCAGCATCCGCCTGCTAGGTGGCAAGCCCTCCTCAGTCAACCGTCTGATATGTCCTATAAGATCTAACTCTTGTTGTGGGCTGAGGTGTCGCTGGTTGATTGATTTGGTGGCATACGCGTCACATTTGCCTTGATGTCGGCGGGCGAGCGTGTGGCGTGATACACCAAAGTGGAGGGCAACTTTTGTATACGAGGACCGTGCATTCGATGGCTGTGATTCTAAAAATTCAATTGCTGCATTGATCGGATCCATATTGAGTGAGATATCGCGTGTGGAAGTCATAGATAAAATGGTGTTGTTGTGTTGGGGTGAGCATTAACGTGCCCGTGCGCAGCGCGCACGGATTCGCAGCGCGCACGCCGAACACCATCTGCTCAATCTCAAGAATGAGGCTGTACAACGCCACACAATAGCTCAATATTGATAAAAACGTGATGTAGCAGTAATTAGATGCTTGCGATCAACTTGTACTATCTATGTTTTTGCGGGAGGCTGACGTTGCGACCACGTAATGTGACTTTAGGTAGAGCAGCAGATGGCCCATCTCGAGCTTGATCACCAGCGTGAGCAGCGCTAGCGCGTTTTTGACGCTTGTTACTTGATAAGGTTACTTGTGAGGCTTTACGCTTGCGTTGTTGAGCTTGTTGGATAGTTTTTTTCTGGTGTTGAGCTTCAACTTTGCGCGCGCGTTCAGCTGCTTTCTCAGCTCGCTCAAGCTCCTTCGCTTCCTTGAGCCTCTGCCTCTCCACACGCCTCTGCTCGAGCTCAACTTGACGCTGCAGCTGAGCCTCCTTACGCTGCTTCTTGGCCTGTGCTTTTTGGAGTTTCTCCTCCGTCTCATCTCGCTCCCGTACTGCTTCTCTAGCTCGAGCCTCACGCAACTTGCGAGGAGACCAGAAGACAGAGCCACCGTGATACTCCTAGCGCTGTTGAAGGTCAAGAGCTTTGCCCTTCTTCTTATGCTTCTTTTTATGTTGAAGAGCCTCTTCTAAACTATCTACTTTATGGTTTAAAGCTCATTCTGAACAGAGAGATGGTGAACGCTTGAGCGTAGCTTTCTTGCCTCATACTGATGGCTATCAGTGACAGCAGCTCGAACTAATCGATCAAGCTTTCTCCAATCATGATCAGAGAGCCCTGATGATGAGCTTCTCTCAGCTTCTGGCGTGCTGGCAAATCTACGGAGGATAACGTTGGCGTCCATTAGCCAGATCCCAGTGGCTTCGAAGGCCTTCAATATGAGACTCTCCGTGAAGGAGGATATCCAGGCGCTCCAGAAGAGTGGGAAAAAGTCCCCTTTCTTGATTAGAGCGAGGCCTTGAGCCTTATAGAGATAGTTAGTGAGCTCGTTGGAGTAGGCCTGAGAGAGTGGCTTGAACAGCACCACATCGAGCGGCTAGAGCGTGTGGGTTGAATGGGGAGGAAGGATTATAAGGAGGATCCTGTGGCGATCACAGTAGTCGATAAACTCCATCGTGACATGAGATCCATGGCCATCAAGGATGAGCAATCGCCATCTCCCTGATCGCTGCTTTGTATAGCGATCAAACACCTGCTTAAGCTAAGCTAGGCCTACGTCATCGTTTGACCAGCCTGTTAGAGATGATGAGATAAAGACCTTATACTCTCCTGCCTTAATATCCTCTACCTAACTTAATCGTATAGCTCCTTTCTTAGCTGCGTAGATAAGGGCTGGAGGCAGCGAGCTCCTATCAGCGCAGCAGCAGGCCAGGACTGTCAGAAACTCGCGTGATCCATCCTGGAGAGATGCTCGAACCTCCTTCTTCTCCCACTGACGCCTGCTGAATATCCTCTTGCTTCTGCCTACTAAGCTAATCAAGAAGCCCTTCTCATCCATATTGTATATATCTCGAGCCTCTAGGTGGTATTGGATGATCTTTCTATGCAGCAGCTCGAAGTAGAGTCTATACTTTGACTCAGAATTAGCCAGGTGGCGCGTACGATCTATGGCGCTGGTCCACTTTGAGATAAGATGGATCTCGTGTCGGTTGATGAAGCGAGTAACCCAGCTCTCGCTGAGCTGCTGATGGGCTACTTCTGATAAGAAATTCCTAATCATCTCCCTTGTAGGGGGTAGGCCTTGCTTGGTAAGCTTAGTGATATACCGTACAAGCTCTAGCTCTTAATGTGGCGCGAGGGATTGTTTGTCGGCTGTATAGTCGGCTCTCGAGCGTGAAACGCCTCGGTGTCTTCGGCTCAACGCACTCCTTGATACGTTGTACTTATCAGCATATTGCTGGTATACAATTTTATCTCCAAGCTCTCGCGATTCGATTGCTGCTAACGCTTTGTCAATAGCTGCCATGCTGGTTGAGTTATGACGCGTTGAAGTTTGTAGGTGTTTCAGTGTTTTGGTGTTCGGCGTGCGCGCTGCGAATCCGTGCGCGCTGCGCACGGGCACGTTACGCGAACACGAGCATTACGCGCACATCCTCGGTACGCCGGGCGCCCCGGTAGCGGATAAGCCGGAGGAAACTGTCAGTGGCACTGGGATAGAACATGTGGTGAATCGTGTTGTATATTGTGCTACGGGAACTGAGATCTATATCTCTGCTGGCTAGCGTTGTGGGCGCTAAGCCTCGCACGTACTAGCCTGGAGTGAGTGAGGGATGGGATGGAACCTGGGTCATATACCCTAAGGCCCACACGGTGGCTGACAGAAACACCCCTGTGGGATGTGTGCTGGGTCGTGTTCAATCGTATTCGCATAAGACGGGACTATCAATAGCCTCTACAGAGGAGGCAATTGTGAGAATAATACGCTCGACTCTAGAGATCTGCGGGAAATGTACAAGGTGTCATATGCATACGAGGAAGGGTTAGCAGGGGGCTGTACCTGACCATGTATGTCAGCACAGCTTTGATCGTAACGAGCGCTAAGCTCTATGTTGCGGGCGCCTGGTCGTCTCCATGGGTTCGATTCTAAGGACATCTAGAGAAAGCCAGATACCCTGTTTGTATCGGAGTTCCGCGTATGCATATGTTCGACTGGAAACGGGTCGTGAGCTGGCAGGAGCTCTTGCAGACAGCTTTTAACTCTACTTTACATAATATAATTCCTGCTTAGTGGGTAACCTCTCTAGAACAGCCTATTACCCGCCGAACGACATGTCTTCTTGAACACCGAAGTCCCTGCAGAAAAATAGGACCGATATCTCTTGCACGCCTGCAACATTGCACATCTGCTGGTATAAGATAGTGTCCCGAGCGTAATATGTTCCCTGACGCGGTATTACTGCGGTGCAACACTGCCAAACTATAATCTTACTACGCGTAACCTTGCGGGATTGCATGGGTCGCTGCTGTCTGCGTATATATGTCTCCTTGTAACCTCTCTCTGGAAAACATCATCCTCAACAAGACAGCTCCTTAATACAGCGGTTCTCGCGTCTGTGTTTCTTAAGTTACCAACCTTCTTCGCACTATCGCCAGCCGTTTGTCTATCTACTTTCGCGATGAAATTCAAGATTATTACTCTTATGCTCTGCTTCACGTCTCAAGCTATGGGCGCATGCGAACAAGTTCGAACCTGTGGTCCAGGCACCAACTTTCCGGTATGTCTAAGAACTATATTAAGCCGATTTATCAGAAACTTACAAAGTTAGGACTGTCAAGATGGCATTTATGACTACAACAGATGCAATACGCCTAAAGGTCGAGGAAGCCCTGAGTTCTGCAGTTCCCGCGCTCAAAACACGGGGCGCAGAGTCTGCAAATCTGGCTTTTGCAATGTCGGTTTTTGTACCGTTCGGTGCTGTGACTAGTAGCTTTGCTATAAAAGGCTGAAGCGCTAGGGGCGATTTTTGGCTACAACCTCATTGCCAGAAACAGGCGCCGGCTGCTCCTGTAGCAGCAGGCATCTGCGGCCAAGAACCCTGATCGAGCTGATAAGCCCAACCGCCTACACCGACAAACCGACAACGACAAACCAACCTCTAGAGCTCAGGAACAGACGGGATAAATAGCAGACAGTAGATAGCAGACTCCGCAACAAACAAACATGAATCAAACATAGGTAGCTTTTTTTACCAAACAAACAAACATAAAGATTGTAATATTTGCAAATATTTGCAAATATTTGCAAGTATTTGGTGTTTTGTTAGGCTAAGTTTTTGCAGTTTGTTAGGTTGTGAGCGCGTCGATTTTGGTATTTTAGTGTTCTAAATGAGCCATCTGAACTCGCCCCTGACGACGCTAGCGCACATTATTAACCTCAGCCCGGCCGACGCGCGCGATCCCGTGACAATCAAAGTATCGCGACGCCCACCATTATGCCCCCCAAAGCTTCTAAGAAGCGCGCGCGTTCGTCAAACGTTCCTACAACCTCAACGAAGCGATTGAGAATTTCAGCAACCCCGCCACTACTTACAACACCCTCACAAGCTTGGGAGAGGCAGCAGCTCGAGTCACAACCTCAAGAATCACTGTCTACGCCCACCGAGGGCAGCCACGCTAGCACTGGCTCTGTAGCAACAACAACAGAGATAGCTGAGGATGGCTATATCGATAACGGCGGCGATAACTTCAATGGGCTTAATTAGGAGCGGCTTGGGGGTCGCTATATTAAGCCCTTGAAGCAACCTGGGAGAACACAAAGCTGGGTATATGCACACGGATACCGCGTCGTGCGTATAGATCAGCCTACACGCCCGCTTTGGGTGTGTAAATACTGCCATATACACAAGGTGTAACAGTACAAGCAGTGAGAGAAAGTTGCTATGCATTTCCTGATGTCTTGTTCTGTTCTGCTGTGGTGATGGCCTTTTATGGGGCCATCATACTAGTCTGTTTACATGACGTATCTGTGACATGGATAGGTGTAGAAGGTGCTTATCAGTAAGAGGAAGAACCATCTCGCCAACACGTGGCACCTAGGATGTCCTTACCCCATGAACCGTCACACAAGGCACCATCCGTTATCATCGACTGCTCAAAAGCCACGTCCTCCGCCGCCGCCCACCTCGCCCAGCCTATTAAGGGCCATAGCCTTTGCCGTACGGGCTCAATTACTACACTAAAACGCCCGATTGGACAGCTCTCACTGCGCGAGGCGATTAACAGTGGCTTCGAAATATCACAATCTACAGCTAACGCGATAGGCAACTTCGACATGCAGCGCTTCCGCCACGCGTTAGTGTTATGGCTCCTTGACAATAACTTGCTAATGGAGATTATTAGTAGAGCTTCAACACGCGAGCTTTTCAGAGAAGTGAGTACAGAGGCAGAGGGCGCGTTGTGGCGATCCCCGCGCAGTATTGCAACCTACGCGATGCGGCTGTTCCACGCTATACGGCCGCAGATTGTCGACGCCTTGTCTAGCGCTGCTAGCAAAATACATATAAGCTTTGACGGCTGGACGACAAAGGGAGGGGCGCGGGGCTTTTTTGGAATCGTTGCTCACTTTGCCACAGCGTCAGGTGAGATCCACGACCTGCCTATCGCTCTGCCGCAGCTCAACGGTGCCCACACTGGTGAGGCGATCGCTACAGCTGTTGTTGCAACACTACGGGCATACGGGATCACGTTAGATACGCTAGGTTACTTCGTACTTGATAATGCTAGCAACAACGACACTACGATCGCGGCTGTAGCGCGCGAGTTTGGAGACTTCAACCCGACGCAGCGACGCCTCCGCTGCGGCCCTCACACTATCAACCTTATCGGGCAGGCTCTGTTGTTTGGCAACAATAAGGACGCGTACGACAACGCTGCCAAACATATTGACGACGAGGAGGCGTTCATAGCAGCGTGGCGTAAGCATAGCGCTCTCGGTACGCTCCTCTCTGTAATCACATACATTAAAACACCACAGCAATACGCGTTATTTACTGAGTGCCTAGAGGCCTCTAACAACGACCTCCCCGCCGCTGCGCGCGTCAAGATACTGCGACCGATTAAGCCAGTTGTTACGCGCTGGAACTCATACTACAGCGCTCTCGAGCGGGCAACCTATCTCAAGGGCGGCTTCGATCTCTATATTGAGAAACACGTGAGCCGCGTCGCCTACGAGGAGCGGCGTGGCACCCAGAGCGACGCTCCGGCGTGGATGAGGTCGGGCGGGCTCCAGGCAGCAGATTGGGCGGTCGTTACTAAGTACCAACGATGCCTTGAACCACTAAAAATCACTACAAAACGGCTGGAGGGCCGTAGCAAACACCATGGCAGTAGCTTCGGAGCTATCCACGAGGTCTTGCCCGTGTTTGATTATCTACTCGATCAGCTTGAAAAGCTAGCCGAGCCATACGCTGACGTAGTGTTTGACGCACACGAGGAGGCGCCTGAAGATCACCTTCATATTAACCTACGCAACGCTTGGGTAAAGGCTGAGGAGTATTACCGTAAGCTCGACGACTCACCAGTATATTACGCCGCTACTTGTCTCCATCCGTACTACAAATACTACTGCGAGAACTCATGGGAGCATAAAGATGGATGGCTACGTACTGCAAACGCTAGATTTCAAGAGTTGTGGCGGTCATATAAGAAGGCACCGCCGAGTCCTCCACCACAACCAGCTCGTACAGGCGCGATCGACGACGTGATCGAAGCCCTCACCGCGCGTCGTAACTGTGCGAGGAGAGACGGCGGCGACGAGTACGATCGCTGGCTAGAGGAGGAGCCGAGTTGGAGTACTGCAACGTATCACAACGATGGCAACGCAGTCCGATATTGGATAACGATAGCGCCAAAATACCCCAATTGAGCCGTTTTGCCATTGATATACTAACTATCCCAGCATCAAGCTGCGAGTGTGAGCGACTATTCAGCGAGCTCGGCGATCTACTAGAGCCAAAACGTCGCGCTATCAGCAGTGAGCTGCTCGCTGCCTTGCAGCTTATACGCTCTTGGACCCGGGCTGGATACACCTACAACGCCAAGCGTGGCGACGACAATAGCGGCGACGGCGCTATCAGCGACGACGAGCTCGCCCGCAAATATAGTATACAAAACTGGGTAGAGGTCAATCAGAGCGACGCATGAGGCGTCTAGCAGCCGCCTACAACACTAGAAACAAACGCCAAGACTTTTATACAACACCAAATATTTGCAAATCAATCAAATATACAGCTTCAAAACACCAATCAAACAATCAAATACGGCGCGGTTGCCAAGCCTTCACCAAACAATCAAATACAGCAGGCGATATTTGATTGATTTGTTTGTTGCGGAGTCTGTCTTCAAGTCTCAGACTGCTTTCTTGACCTGATTATGGCCTTAAGCTATCAAGCCTACAAGCCAAGCCTATTAAGCCGGCTTGCTTGTTGCGGACTGTGCCTTAGGCTTAGCCCGTTACATCAACATTCAACACAGTCATGCTAGTGCACGTACAGAAATCACATAGGCAAGCAACAGATGTCATAGAACATACCATAGTAAAAGTCAGTCAAATTTCTAGTTCATTCCCACGTGGGCAATCCATCAATATCTGCCTGAGCCTCCCGTCTAGTCGAATCCTCTCACTCATTGCCAATTGACTAAGCCTTACGCTTCAACTTCAGCCCCTCGTACGCTGCGCGATCGGAGTCCAAAGGTACTCCAGTCAAGGGCAGGCTCGTAGGATCGACCAACTCCCACTCGTCCTTGAGCCCATTGCAGGGCACAGCCACGACCAATGCAATCATCTTAGAAGCAAACTCTTTCGTCTTAGGGTGATCAGCGGCACAGTAGTGCGCAAATGGCATATATCCTAATTTTGCCTCTTCATTTTTGAGGGTATCCTTGGCGGTCCGGTAATTCAACCAATCTGTCTGAATAGAAGCAGATAGCGCTGCTTTGTCATAGAAGTCCTGCCGTTGTGCGGTGCAAATGTTCTGCCAGCGCTCCGGGCGGAACGTAAGAGGGTCTTGTCCTCCAAGTATATCGAACCTGTGGCACTCTTCTATGTTTGCAGCGACCTGCTCGTCATAGTACATTCGATGAACGCGACGAGTAGGGGGGTAGAGACGCAAAGTTTCTTTGACAATCTCAACTGGCCGCACACTGCTAGCTGTCGCGGAGCTCTTGTGAAAGGCGTCATTTGGTTTGCAGTTTGGGTCACCAAGATCTTCGAGGTAGCCTCTGAGGATAGCTGTCCAATCCGATCTGTTGGGCGCACCGCGGTGCTTGATCTCCAAGAAGCAACGCATGACGACTCGCCACATCGTTTCATATGCTGGCAGAAGGAGATTCATCGGGTTTTCAGTCGGCTTGGTCGGATCGAGTGTTGTCGTATCTCCAGGCTTGTCGTCGGTTACATCTTCAGGGAACATGCCTGGCATGTCGAAAGTCTTTTTGCTGATAGTCACTCGGCGTAGTGCGGCATGAAGGTCTTTCTCATCGCTCCATATGGGTGGCTTCGCTCCGTCTAGCTCGGCTTCTGTCATCTTGGACTGGATCCAAAGTTCATTAATGCGACGACCAATAAACTTGACGTCGTTGAACTGCGTTTTGCTTGTTTCCAGGGCTTCTTGAGCGCTCTCAAAGAGGTACCAGAGGGACTGCTTTAAGACGATGAATTGAGTGAGCTCGGCAAGGTTGATAAGTTCAGTATCACACTCCTTCATATACTCATCGAAGAAGACGATGGCTTGATTACGCAGGTCGCGCCAGTCTCCATCATCCCTAAAACTGTTCGCTTTCATGGCCTCCCACATTATTTTTTCAACCTTTTCAATGAAAGGCTTTTTCTTGTCGGTCTTGTTGGTGAAAATGTTGTCGATACCAAAGACCTCTTTCAGACTCTGGTTGGGGTCCGCACGCGCTTGCTGGTGATTCGGATAATTAGAATCATTTCCAGCATGTTTGAACTGGATGATGTTGGAGCACATTGTCGCTTTTCTTCGTTCCTCGTCGCTTTTGGACATGCCCTCTACCGTGTTGTCACCCATAGGTATCGTGAGAACCAGCTAAGTTCCAGCAGGAGGGACTAGAGTGTTGAGGCTGAAGAAGCTACTGAGTAGGTGCAGAAGATAGAAGGTGGTGAGCAAGGTGGACTAACATAGGTGACGATAGGCCCGAATGTTCTAGGTAAGAGGAGGCGCACGTACGGGTGGCAAACTGTGTTTGATATTAGTGGGGCACGGCGGACAAATGATGGCATTGTACAAGCCGCTAGCTGAGAAAAGCTCGTGGTAAGTGAAAGAGAGTCAAATGACTCATTTGCTGTTTGAATCTCTTATCATAAAGCCCACTTCACTTACCTTACGGTTCTCATCCACCTCACCATTCTCATCTACTTCACCGTTCAACTCTCACTCCTCATCCGCTCCAGCTGCATTCTATGCCTTACACAGCCTCTCTACGGACTACAGTACGTTTGATTCTCTTACCTTCTCTTACGCTATATTCATACTAATACTCGCGCCAGCTAGCTCGATCGTACGTCTACACCTAGAACCCCAAAAAACACACTTGAGGACGTGCCAGCCAGCGGGAGTCCGCTTTAAAAGTCCAACTCAATCACTTCTACATCTTCTATTTCTTATCCTCTAACATTGCATTAGTAACCTCATCGCTTTAACTCGCGGCACGATCGTTACACTATCAACAATGGCTCGGGGAAAGGCACGAAATCGTGGAAAAAGTGCGAAGACTTCCTACATGTTTCCGTCGCTTCATCAGGATGTCATGAGTGCAGTCTCTGATGAGATCGCCTCACCACACTTTCACATGAATGATAGCGACAGCGGTGTCTATAACACATGCTCAACCCACGTTATGGGCACGTTTGTGTGCAACAACAGTACATGTGCCAATCATGGCTGGGCCAGTAAGAAGGTGGCTATATTGATCAGGGGATATCCAAGGAATGGGTACAACGCTGTAGTGTTCAATCAGCGCTGCAAGTCTTGCAACAAGCTAGGCACCTTGAAGATGGCCGAGGAGTCGTATGTCGATCGAGTCGCATATAGGCTCAAGAAGTGGGCAGGAGTTCGAATGGAGAAACCGTCCTTTGGTCGAAAAAAGGGACTGCCGCACAAGTCCGAGCTATGTGAGGGCTGCAAGAGAGGTGTTTGTAAAGAAACATAGCTCGGAGTACCATTAGATATTGCGAGCTCAGGGCTAAAGGTAGGCTGCACTCTTTTATTACTTCATGATGCACTGGGAAGCTAATCTCTGACTGCAGAAGAGAGCTAGTGTCAAGCAGGTCAGCGTTTAGGTACTGTATCCTTTGGACTTACCAATCAGTTCCAAAAGTAATGCTGCTGCTTTAGGACTCTTTTTTGTCAGCTATCTGGGATTCTGCTGCCATTCTAGGCTGCTTTAAGGGATAATGTCACTCAGTTTATTGGAAGGCGGTAGTTCAGAATTGTAACGAATGGAAGGAAGATGCATTTGAGTTGGCAAAGTATAATAAGAGTTTACAGCTACGATGCAACCCCTACCAATCGATTACTAACTGTATACTGTCTGACTTGACAGCCTCCGTCAGCTCTGTGATGCAGGAAGTGATGCGCGACGCCTTTTTAATGATAGTAGATAGAGACGATAGAGATGAAGGCGTCGACATGGCCGCGATGTTGAGATGGTCTGTTTGGGCTAGGATCTATCTAAGCGAGCTTGTTCCGCCAGGGCCGCAAGACGCCAACCATACTAAATACGTGGCTGCCGGCACTTTTCAGAGCGAATTTGGGGCAGTTTATTAAGAATTAGGACTTGTGGTAAGAAACTTACTCTGCTTCTTCTTGCAGACCCAAGACTTTATCTTTGAACCATGGCAGAAAAGTCTCCGGTATCCACACACCCAACAAGTACCGAATAACAGCCAGCAATCGATAACAGCCAGTAATAGTCCTTGTGCATCCAATACTAATAGGAAACTCAATAATATCCACAGATGTCTCCTGATCGACAACCCAGTACAGCCACCACTCATGCCCAAATACAATCAAGCCTGGCAAAGGCGTGCACACCAGTTTCTCTGTGAGTCGTAATGCAGCGACCCGATTCTGCCACGCGGCCACCCACATGCCCAGCTTAAACCTGGCGTCCTCTTCTTCATAGAAACCCTTCTTTGTTTCGATAGATATAACGGCGGGCTTTTTATAAGCTTCGTTGAGCGTCTGATTAATAGAGAGGAACTGCGGGGGTTCGTGGAGGAGGAGCGCATGGGTGGCGGATTCGAGAGAAGAACCATGGGGAGGGACGAGGTTAATGGAGAAGTCGACGATCTTAGGGCCGGAGGGATCGTCCTTGTAGAGCGGGGCGAAGTCTGGGATAGGCTTTGCCGAAGTTCTAGACACAGGTTAATTGAGCAAATATATCAGGTGAGAGAGACAAACATATTAATGGACTCGAAGCGTGGTTTGAAGGGCCGTAGGGCGCATGATAAGATCCGATCGTGTACTTTGGTGTTCCACTGTGCCTCGTGTGACCCGCTGTCCGCACATTGTTGAGCCTCTGCGTGGATCTCAAGCAAAGTCTCGTATTCAAGCTCGACTCCTTTGCGATCGTCATCATGACCCTCCTGGATGAATTCGTTCTCTAGTCGTAGCGCAACAGCTGCCGGGATGGTCTTTACATCGCGACAAATTCCGCCTAAAGCCTGCTAGTGTGAAAAGGTCTTTGCTGGCAAGCGGCTGCAGCTGGAAACATATTCGATGGGCTTGTTCAGCATAGTTACTCAAATCGCGCAGAGTCTTCCTTGGACTTGGAGTCGTGGGCTTGCTCACGTCTGCAACAGCGTCCAAGTCGAGCGCTGCTGCATATAGCGAGGAAGAGGATATGGGCGGCGATAGAATTGGCGCATTGTGGATGCAAACGTTATGTAGAGATGCGCGATGGGTGGTGGTACGGAGCGCGGCGACATTTGATTCGCTTGCCCAGCTCTTTGTCGCTCACCAGACAACGCCCTACTGTCTGTCCCGCCGCTAGCCTTTGCCTCTCCACGATCCCCCGCGCCAACGATCCTAATGTTACCTACCTGTTGTAATCACCTTAACCGTGAGCCTTTGTTACAGTGCTTAGCGGAACCGGCTTTGGCCGTGTCGGCCGCGGCCTTTGAGCAGCCGTGTAGTTTCGGCAAATGGCTTAAGGAGTTGAATGTACTCCGTAATTGCCGCCCTCGCGTAAATTATGTATAGTTGTGGTTGCGTAGTAGGCAGCTACTTAGAGTTCTTCTGGCATTGTAAAGGTGCTTTAGTACGACCTCCAACGGTCATGAGGATTTAGATCGTTCATATTCGTGAGGGATGAGTACTAGCAGAGCTGTGGTGGCCATGCTTGGCAAGATTTTGCACTATCTAGAGCTGCATACAGCACTCTTCTCTTCAGCCATATCTACAAACCATCGCCTCCGGCGCAAGGGTCCGTCCGGAGCAGGCCGGCCGCCCTCCCTGCATGCGGTGGCAGATATTTAGGATTCGCTACAGCAGATTAATTCCACAGAATTATAGTAATATTTGTTCTGTGCATAGGCTTTCCAGTAGCTGAAAGTCAAAGTACTCCTCATTTGCCTCAGCACACAGGGTGTCTCGGTATGGAGGGATGCACTGTAGACCATTAATGATTACAATTTCACTGGTTATTTAGTGGAAGGGCGGCGGAAGCGACCACAATTTCAACGGCGAGGGATACTTCAAATCTGCCTCAAGCCGTAATTTAGGTTCTAGATGGGTGTTGTATTATTCCAGCTTGTCGGATCACAGATATCAACGATATCTCAGCCACGCGATCGGCCGCACTAATCTCGGTCACGCGAGCAGGCGCACTGATATCAGTCACGCGGACAGGCGCACTGATCGCGGCGTCCGAGCAGCGCTCAGACCAGACCTCCTATATCTAGCTCTTCCATAGTTCCCCTTCGCACGAGAATCAATCAGAACCACCGAACAGAATGCATTCCTAGTTATCGTTATTTCCCTTTTCGCACTTAGTGCAAAGCCGACCAACACAGCTTGTATTTAGTCTAACAGGAATCATAATAGTCGGAGTCATACCAATCCAAGTTGTCCTCCTCCGTCGTCACATCGTCTTCGTGGGTGTCAGCCTGCTCGCTAGAATCGAGCTCGTGCCATCGGTCGAGGTTCACCCTCTGCTTTACCGACAACATGAACCTGCTCTCGTACACTGCTCGTACGGCATTTCTCGTCTTCCATTTGAAGGTTCCGGGATGAGATACGACAAACAGGACGGCATTAAAGATGGTGTTCTTATGCTTGTCATTGCTCTGAAATGTGTCTTGTAGAATGGAATAGACAAGCTTGAACGCGGCGTCTCGAGCTTTCGATTTATCGCGATATTCATCATAGCCTTGCCCAGCTTTCAAATCTTTGATGATTTCACTGAGCGTCCGCCCTTTACAGACGTCGACGTGAAGAAAATCATATGTATCACAGAGGGTGCGGTAAAGAGTGATATCGCTGGACATTGATCGAAAACACTGGCGGTAGCCCGATTCAATCCCTTTGAGGGCGACATCGAAAAGAGGAATGGCTTCGTGGATGATCTCCGTCAACTGAGATGAGCTATCACCGCTGTTGAGGACTAGGGATGCTAAGCGCGGGATCCGAGAGACGTCTGTCTCATATCGCACGTTTCCAATTGTGATTGGAGTCTTCGCACGTGATGTAGTGCTTGTTTGAGCTGGCGTCTAACAAATTTATGTCAGATGTGCTCATTACTAATGTGATTACTGACCTTGTACTGATCTCCCTTCTTTGTCATTAGCTTGTTGTCCTCGGTTCCCTGTTTTCCGCCCTGCCATTTTGCGTCTACACCTTCCGACGGAGCCTTCTTCTGCTCACCGGAGATCACCTCCAACTTCATTCCGCCATTGTATTTGACAAATACAACCTGACTGGCACTACCTTTCACTAATTCAATGATTTGATTCAACAGATAGCCCAGACTACAAAGAATTTTTTGGTTGCTCCTTTCCCAATCGCGGACATTCTGGGTCATATCTCGGACTTGGACATCATCAAAAAGGCCATTCTTATAGTAACCGACAGCCAGGTGTGGAGTCTGTGATATCCAAAGCTGAGCTGCAGTCTCGTTCATGTCCAGGCTCTTACCAGCAGCTCGAGTCTTGACTTCCAGGATGGAAGAACAGTCTACCTCTTTTCCTTCTCTTTTAACTGCGATTGTGGATATATGTGTCGATGCGGGAGCGGAGTCAGCGAGCTGCAGTGTTTCCAGTAACTGCGGCAGGGGGGCGGTCGTCTTTGCCTGCTTCTGGACCGCAGCCCGCCCTAATGCATCATCAATGTACCCATCAGTTTCATGTCTGACCACGCATTGCAAGCCACCGAAACGAAAACTAGTGATTCTGTGATATCCAGAGGTTCCGGTCGTGCTTTTTGTGCATGCCTTCTCGAAGTTGCGACCGTAACCTCGGAAGCCCTGAATGACTGTAGTGGTCTCATCCTCCATACGTGTAAACAGTGCCATCTTGCCGTCGACAATTTCGACCTGTATCTGAAAGGATTCGCTTGAAGTTCCATCGAGGAAGCGGAGAAGTTTTCTAATATTGTTCCGGTCCGTTATCACGTCGACGCTTCCCATCTCGAAACCAGGATTCTGGGCAGAGAGTGCACTGAACAAAGGTTTGAGAGGCGCATCGGGGATTCGCGCCGCATTTTCATCAACGTACACTCGTCCGGAGTCGGGTTCCAGTTTTAGTGGTCCCGCCGGCGGTGACCAGAGAGATGGGAAGCCTTTGTTGGCCATTAGAACGAAATATTTGACAAGCGTCTCTCCTAAACAGCTTACCAGGCACTAAAATAGTAGGGACTTCGCTCTCAAGCCAGCTATAAGAGGCGAGGTACTCAAACTCGGTGATTGTTGCATGAGCAGGATCCAAACGGTCACTTAAGTCGGAGCGAAATATTGTGGCGACAACTTGAGAAATCATGCTGGCACCTGGCGGATGTCACAAGGCAAAAGTGATGGATTTGAGATGCAATAGAAGCTGCTGAACACTTAATGACTCGCTTCCTCCATGAATATCGGAGGGAATGGCCGACTTTAATCATCAGCTGAAGTTCATTCACACCCAAGCAGCGCATGATCTACGCAACGTTGCACAGCAGAACCTCCTATCTGCTTGAGCTATGCTTTGTTGGAAGAGCGCATTGCTATTGGATAGACGTGAGAATGCCGCACAGGCATTCGCTGTTTGGTGGGGGCTGTACAGCGCCCAGTAGTGGGATTCTGCCTCGTGCCGCCTACCGTCACCGGAATTGTTAGCGCCTTGCTGCCTCTTTCGTTCAGGTACATTGATGAAGGCACAGTGAAGCAAAAACACGAGTGTATTGAGGCACGAACATGAACGCGAGGCTGTTACGTGGTAGCGTTCTGTACCCTGTGTATATCAAAGCTAGACGTGCAGCCCCGTACGCCTAACGTTACTCCAGCTGCTCTTACAGAAGCTCTCTGGGAGGCTCTTACGCCGAGCAACGTACGTGAGCTTAAGGGTCAATCAATATTGATACGTGATTGCGTGCGACAGCATACGAGCTCATCACCAGCTTCGATTATTCAGGCGATCAACCAGCTCAAGAAAGGGGCTGAGGTGATGATGCTCTCAGCTGAGGTGATGCGCGATCGCATCACCAGCCTTGAGAGAGCCAACGAAGCAGCGTCAACGCGTAATCAGCGCAAGAAAAAGCGACTCCAGAAGCGTGGAGTCCTGACGAAAGGAGCTGGAGAGGATATACTCGCTCAACATGAGGCTGACCAGCAGATTGCTCGTGAAGAGCGTCTCGGCCGCCAGGTCCTGGCGCGCTGCACTGTGCAATAAAATTGTGAATAGATTGCAGAATTTCGTTGGACGGGGGCCGTCTAGCCAGCGTGCTCGTGGTGGGCGCTTGCCAATAATAGTTCAACCACTTAGAGAGTCCTACTCGCGCCCGCATCGCTGCCTTTGCATTAGCGCTTACTTTTTTTCCTTCGCGCATAATTCTTTAATCCCCGTTTAGATTAGTACTTACTTTACAGCCCCACACAAACAGGAGTTAATATACCGGATTCAGGTCCACTTTACAGTGGACGGTGCCGTCAAGATTACCGTTTACAGGAAAATTAAGGGTTTTTGTGGCAGTCGCGAGGGAGATAACTAGGCTTCCCGTCCGCTCAGCCATATATAAGCAGTGTACCGGCGGATTAGTAGTTAGGTGGGTGACCACTAGCGAATCCCTGCTGTTGTATGTTTTTGCTTTTTTTTGCCAGAAGTCTCAGTATTTCCACCTAAATGGAATATTTTGTCAAATAGAAGGGTGCCCAGAAGTCAGAGGCCATAATGAGGGGCAATGGGAACAGCCAATCAGAGCCGAGAGAGCCTTGGCACCCCCTCAAATGAACTGTTATTATTATTATTGTTGAGAATACAGTCCGTAAGTGACTTGGTGGTATCAAGCGGAGGAGTAGTCATATGATTGGTGACACGTGCAGGTGGGCCCTAGCGGGGAGCTTGGACGCAGCTGCACGCAACACGGATCTACGAACGTGTGAATAGCTCCTTAGTCAATACAATACGAATCTGTACCACCACTACCGTTGTGCCTTAGAGAGCGCTCTATTAGGTAGTCATACTACTACTAATAGTGTCAGCTTCTCAATACTACCTATGTTTGATTTGTTTGTTTGTTGCGGAGTCTGCTGGCCGCAGGGTTCGGGTGAATAAGCAGACCATCAATTTAGAGCTAAAGCTGCTTCCTTCGGTGTTGTTTACGAACTGACGGACTATTTTATTACACATACCATTCTTGCTCCCTCTTTCCCGAAGCAGCTCCTTTCCTGCTTATCATTTTGCACTCTTCCGCAATAAACATGTCCCTCACAACCAACTCTTTTGCAAAACCACCTCGCCACTTCGCCTCCCTTCTCCAAAAAATAGCATCCCTGTTGGCACTCCTTGCTCTGCTGTACATGCGCACACCGCATCTCTGCTGGAAACCACGCGCTCTTGATGACCACGGTCTTGGTAGGCACTTCCTCAAGGTCCCAGTCTTCGAAGCAGTCCAGATCCTTGTTCCTATCCGAGGGAGGTATCCTGTACATTGAGCTATTTTTGGGGTACCTAACGGCCTTGCGCGTGAAGAACGCTGGGATCCAGCTTGGCGGAGGGCGTTCGGGGACGAAGACGGTTAGGGTGTAACGGGTTGTGTGGGGCCCGGTTTCGCAGAGAGGATCGAAGTATGGGCTTGAAGACATGTTTTGGTTTAATTCCTTCTGCAGGTTTAGTGGATCTAAAGTACTCGCTGTTGTTAAGTAACGTTGGTGATTTATCGTAGGGGTGAGGTTGCGCGTCGTAATAGGTTCGTGAGTTTGTTAACGCAGTGACATTGGGGAGAGTTTAACAAGTGGTTTAGCTAACTAACAAAGAGTCCTTTGTGAACTAGTAACTATGCGCGCAAACAGGCTTATATAGACTTAAACTCCTTGGCGGCTAGCTCCTACTATATATATTCGAAAGTTTATTGAAAGATAAAAGTGGTAAATGGAGAGACGGAACAATGGTGTCGAAGCCCGGCAAGGGCCTAGCACCTTCACAGGCATCCACCAAATGACTTAGCCCTTCCCGTGTTCTGATTGGCCGGGGACTGATTAGTCAGCTGCTTTGTGCATTCACAAGTAGATATTGTCACTCCACCAGGTAGCTCTAATACAAGAGCTTACACACATTTTCTCCACCACCATCACATCTAGCGCTGGAAAGCATATCGATTAGATCTGCGCCACTGTGATGTTGAAGCAACGTTGTGCATGGCTGAGGGACCCTTCATCTTGTCATCTTGCCGCCTCCGATGTCTAATCCCTCTATCTCTGGCCCCTGCAGTCGCCTATACTCCCACAAGTTTGGAAATTGCACGGACTTACTTCTTATCTTTGTCAAGGGGTGGGATGCTTGATGCTATGCTCCCGAGCCCCGGCCGAATGAGAAAGAGAGTTCTGCTCCCCTGGCTGGCCCTTGCTGAATTGCATACTTGTCAACAAACAAACTGATCTACAGTTTGAATACCTAAACAAGCTAGTTTCCGCCCGGAATTTCCTGTCTAAGTATTCAACCTGTAGATCAGTTTGTTGACAAGTCTGCTGAATTGAACCTAGGCAAGCCCTGTCCTAACAGCTTGATCAGCCTTAGAAATCGACAGATTCCGTAACCCTTATTATTCTGGCACTGTGATGACATCACGAAGGCACCTAGATATAATCGTTTTAGTATCCTTGTTAATAAGCACAGCAAGCTCTAACTAGAGTAGCTACCTAGGCAGTCAACCCGGCGTAGCATTGACGCAACTTCTCAATATCCCACAGAAACGGTTCGCGTACGAAACGGTCTAGTTCTCTAGCCACTAGGGAGCTGCGATTACTGGCAGCACACAGACTAACTACTCCTCTCTCTTCCACCGCTGAGCCATCCTTTGGCGCACGAGGCTGACCGCGACATGACTCGATGATGACCGCAAGCAGTCTGTAGAACCCACCGACTCGACGCACGGATGTCGTGACAAGAACCGTGCCGCAGTGGCGCGTCTGCTTACTAGTAAGCTGCTTACGCTTCCCAAGTGCGCATGTACGAGCAACTAAGCACAAGAGTGCTTAGCATGTCAAGCGAACTGGACTTGTACATTAGCGATTGCGGCTTGTTGGAGTGGGTGAACCGTACGCATAGGGAAGAAGTTGAGGATTGACTGAGGTTGTATTGTACAAGCTATGGAAAGTTTATGTAGGTGAGTGACCATAAACAGCGCTAGTCTCAGATAGGCATCGTCCCATCACCAAACCGTGACACGGCTTCACTCCTACATGTAGATGCGCAACGGTTTTGTACAGTCCTACCTTCTGTACATAGCTTAGCGCTAGATGTCTGCAAGGTGAAGTCGCAATCGCTAATGACTGTACTAACGTTATACATGTAGCCGCTGTGGCGGTTATTGTTGCGTAAGGGGTTACCGGGGGCCGAAAGGCATGCAAGGGGCGCCTCCGGGAAGGCAAAGCGGTTTGATATCAGGGATCCGGTAAGGAGTACCTAGCGTATTTTGGCTGCTCTTATCACACATTGTGATCGTCACTCTCAACAATCTTACGGTCGTGCATGATGAAGGTGGAGAAAAACGTGTGCGAACTTGTTGTATTGGAGCTACAGAAGGAGGGAGAATATCTATAGTGGCGCGCACGGAGCAGCTGACTAAATCAGTGCCTGGCCAATTAGAGCACGGGAAGCGTAAGGCTTATACCGCGTCTCGACAGGTGGTGTGGGTATGTGGAGTGAGAGAGGGTGATGCAGATGGGCCTGTCTTGCGTCAGGATCATACCAGACCGGCTCACCTTCCGTGGAAGTGAAGCATCTCACGAGGAGAGAAAGTGTCACGGTTTGGTGATGGGACGATGCCTATCTGAGACTAGCGCTGTTTATGGTCACTCACCTACATAAACTTTCCATAGCTTCTACAATGGACCCTCAGTCAATCCTCAACTTCTTCCCTATGCGTACGGTTCACCCACTCCAACATAAACAGGATATCGAACAAGATACGGTTCAACTTGCCCATCTATGGTGCAGGGATTGTTCCTGGCCTGAGGGATGGGCATCAAATTCTTCAAAAGTGAAACCTGATTGCCGTATTCTAACAGCTTGCAGTCGAAGCTAAGCCGACGAAGTGATCAGGAAAGTCTAGTGCTCCAGCAGGTGTTTGGATCCCAAGATTGGCCTTACACTCTCTAATGATCTTCGCCATATCCTTGGCAATATCGATACAGGAAGCACAGAATAGGGTGTTGCGCTAGAATAAGTAGTCAGGACAGCTCCCTACGACGAAAGACAAGCTTGGTGGCTGAGAACTACCTTATTGCACAAGTAGACACCGCACTTGTACGAGCAGCTTATTAAGGCGCAGTGGTTGAGTCCGCCACGGACACAGCACCTGGCGTTACCGAGGTCCTTCAGATGAGAGTAGCCATCATCGCAAGACTTCGGTCCAAGAATGTCGCCGCCCCAGTTGCAGTTGGTCTGTTGAGAATAGAGTCAATATGCGTCGCTAACAAACGACGATCAGGGCACTGGAGTATTACACTTGATCGCTTACGCAAGGAGCGCGCTTGACCACTTTCCACGTTGTCCACAGCGTGGAGGGTCTTGGGCTTGAGCGCCTTCATCTGCTCGTTGATGGATTGCGCTGTGCCTGTGAAGGTGACGCCAGGGAACCCGCCGTCGGTCACCTCCAGCTTCCCGACAGCCATGTTATCAGTGGACATCTCAAGACTGCCCATAGAGAGCTCGTAGTCTCCGGGTAGGGCCGTGGCGCTGATCTGTTGGCTCAATTAGGCAATGATGCAAATAACCCTCCAAGGTGGCATGAAGCCACTCACTGAGCAAACTAGTAGGCCTGGGATAGCTGCGAAGATAGCGAACAAAGACTTCATCTTGGCATGAAAAGTGTGGATGGGTGGGAAACGAGGGACTGGAAGGTGAGACACCGAGCGCCCTATTGCCTAGTTCTGCGCGCATGGCCGCTTCAGCAGTGTAAACTGCTTACCCGTCAGCAGACTTTCCAACAAGCAAGTCAAGTCAAGCCGGCTGGCTGGCTCGAGTGGAGCTTGATAAGATGGTGAGCAGCTTGACTTGATCACATAATCAAGCTAAAATAGGTAGCTTGCTTAAGGCTTGACTTGATAGCTTGATAGCCTATACTACAAAAATTCCTAATGTTGAGTCTCGTAATCGTCGCCACCCCAGCTGCTAAGGTCGTACAAAAGCTCTATCTCGTCGTCTGTCATCGTCGACTTAGCCGCGACCTCGACGTCGCCTAAGCCGGCTCTTTGCCACCGTCTTACGCACTGTGTAGCCGCTAGAAGTTGCGGTTTAATAGCGCGGCGACGCGGCTCGAGGAGGTCGCCAAGCTCACTAAACAGCAGACTTGTCAACAAACAAAACAAAACAGGATTTTGAGCCTATCCTGACTTGATTGGAAAATTGGCGATCGCGCGTCCTGTATTGATTGTTTAGTGTTAAGTTTTAGGTAATCCTGATTGAAGATTGATTAATTCCTGGTGTTTTAATTGCAATCGTGACTGTAATTATATACAAATTATTAGCTAGTGTAATCCCACTCGCATACCTTGTAGACGTCGTCAATCTTCTCATCTGAAATCAGCGCCTCTGCGTCAGCTTGGTTTTGAGGCTTAAAGCCTGCCGCCCGCCAACTCTTTATACACTGCAGTGCCGCCAGTAAGTTGCTGCTAATCTTGCGCCTCCGAGGCTCTAACAGGTCACCTAGTTCACTGAACATGCGCTCACAGTCGCAGCTGGAGGCAGGGATTGTAAGGACGTCGATCGCGAGCTGCGCTAGCTGCGGGTATTTAGGGCGTAGGTCCTGCCAATACTTAATCGGATTAAGTCCGGAATCAAACTGAGCGTCATCCCAAGGCAGCTCGAAGCGCCGCCAGCGCTCTAGCTGATCCACCTCTGCTACCTCCGCCGTCTGCTCAGTGTTGACCATAGCCGCTATTGCGTCGCGGATAGAACTTGTACGAGGCGCTAGAGTGCGCGCTAGAGGTGCCAGAGGGCGCCTGTACTGCGCCCAAAGTTGCTGTAGTCCAGCTTCACCTGCGCGGATCCACGACGGCTTGTCGCGCCAGCTCTTCTCGCAGTAGCTTTTGTAGTATGGATGGAGGCAACAGGCAGCGTAGTAGGCGGGAGAGTCGTCGATGAGGAGGTAATAGCGGTCGAGCTTGTGCCAAGCAGCGCGGAGGTTAATTACGAGGTGATCCTCTGGGGCGTGAAGTTCGTTGTGATTGACGCCGCCGTACGGCTCAAGAGCTGTTTCGTAGGCTTTTAGCACGGCCTCGTAGACTGGATATACCTCGTAGATTGCGCCAAAGCTGCCTGAAGTACCGCGGGCTTCGAGGCTTCTTGTAGCCTCCTTCAGCGGCTTCAGTACTGCGATATACTCGGTAATCACTGCCCAGCCTGCCGCAGTAAGCCCGCCCGATCTCATCCACGCTGGGGCATCTAGCAGCTTATTGCGGCGGCTAGCAGCGTACGCGTCGTCGCGAGCCTGACGCTCTATGTGATCGCTAGCGTACTTGTCAACAGCGTCCTTCAGCAAAACTGCGCGCTCAAAGGTATCGTGATAGCTGTTCCACCGAGTAACAACAGGTTTCACTGGCTCTAGTATCGCAGTAGTGGCGGCATGCGGGAGCGCATTGACTAAGCGCTGAGCGTCCTCAAAGAGTGCATGTTGCTTAGGCGTATTGATGTAGTTTACTATCGCGATAAGTACGCCTAATGTCACGGTACTGACCCTGCCTGGGAAGGACATCACGTGAGGCACGTGACCTGTCGCTAGCCCCAGGGTCCAGCACTTAGATAGCTCTCACCTCGCGGAGCCTTACGCTCCTCACAGTACAACACATATTCTACCTCAGTCCCACTGCGCACCAGCTCCGTGATACGGACGAGCTTTGGCTCATGGTCATCGACCGTGTGAGCGCATTACAATGATTAGCGATTGCGGCTTCACCCCTACACGCAGATGCGCAACGGTTTTGCACAGCCCTACCTTCTGTACATGGCTTAGTGCTAGATTTCCGCTGCTATCACTGCCTCACGCTTCCAGCAAGGCTGATCGTGACACGACTCGATGACGACCGTAAGCACTTTGCAGAATGTTTCGGCTTGGCGCAAGGCTGCCGTGACAGGAATCGTGCCTCAGTGGCGCGTTTGCTTGGCAGTAAGCAGCTTATGCTTCCGAAGTAGGTTTATGCACAAAATTGAGCAATTGAATTCCCGGCGTCTACAGCAAGCGAAATGCGCTTGCTTCATCCACCTTCTGTATACGCTGTAGTGCAGACAAGGGTAGGCCAGCCTATATGTGCCGCACGGTGGCTCTTATGCCCGCACGACCCTCTGTTCGATAGTGAATAGGATTAGTTAGAAGCGTGAAGTGGGGCCGCGGTAAGACTCAGCGATCGCCTCCCGCCTATCTTGTAGCATGTCCTCAGTAACGCCACGCTTCCTAGTTCCATAAAACATACTAGTTACGCTGAAGTCGGGCAGTTTCAGTGACTAGCTCGATCCGGGATTGCGTGAAAAGGCTAGTGCGAGATCGTGTGAAGGATAGCGTGGACCTATTCGAGCTGGATTATCAATCAGCATGAGAAACGGAGCCACTAGGCAAGGCGTCAAGCCACTGTACAATACAGGGCGGCAGTTGCGGCTAGCTACTGTGTCTCGCATGCTACAGTGTAGCGTGGAGGAGCCATACAGTTAAACTAAAAGTCGAGATGCCAGGTTAGTCACATACAGTAAAATGCGTTTCTCAGAATACGGAATTTCATACAACGCCACTAACAGGCTGTAGTAGGGACAAGGTTAGCGCCCCTGAATCGTGTTCACAAGCTACCTAGCAGAAACCCATAAGCGATATCATCTGCAACCCCAGCGATTCCCTGATCGCAAATTCAGATTCTACGAAGTACCAATGCTTTCACCACGTAATCTTGAGGCAAATCGGTCGATGTACACTTTGCAAATCCGCGATATTCAACCATCGTCTTCTCCTTGCGGAATGCGCGTAGACCTGGAAAGAGAGGCAACTTGACTACTTTCCCATCAGTTATCGGATTTGAATTGATCACTTCCATCTCTACTTCGTTAGCCGCTGATCCTGCTATAGGCCATATGAGTTCAAAGTGATTGGCGCTCAACAAAGACTCTACGCGAACCTCTACTGCTAATTTGAACACGGCGCTTAAAGAAGATCGCAGTTTCTTAATGGCTTTGCGTTTCAAACTTTTGCCGAATAAAGGGTGGAGTGTTTGTGTAAGGCGGTTTCTGAACATTTTGCTCATCTTTGGAATGATGACTTCCTTGAAGCTTTCACTCTCTATGATGGACCGATGGACGGCAAGGTCCAAGTCATAGAGACTTTCGTGACCACCTATAAGACGTAAGCACTTTCCCGTGGGAAGTCGATAGGATTAAGCTTACACCAAGTAGTGATGAGGCTGCGATACTCTTCCAGGAGCGGTGTGGTGCGCATCACATGCGCTCGGAACTCGGCTCCAAACACCCAATTATAGATGGAAGCTCCTGTGAGAGCTTGTACAAGCTCAAAGGAGGTTAAAGTCGGGAAGGTGTTTAGTGTTCCTTCGGGCTTGCAATGAGTGTCGATTCCAAACACGCTGGACAAAAGACCATCTAAGTCGACCGAAATACCTAGGAGGCTCTCGATAGGATATTCCTTAGCGCCATCCATAACTAGCACTGTAGCGATGCTATACTTTAGGTTTTGGAATAAACCAATGAGTCTTTGTGAGTTTGACACGGCATTTGGGGCCTTGCTGAAGGAAAGATACCGTTCTAGATCCGCTCGATCTTCGAGCTTCTTTCTCAGGATAGCGATTTTCCAGGTGTTTTGCTTGGGAACTTTTGTTACATCTCCCGGCAGTTGCCCTAGACTCTCAATTTGTCGCCGCTGGTTTTCTAGAATGAGACATTCCTCTTTAGCTTTTTGATAGCGCTCCTTATAGAAGGCCAGTTCAGAAGCCATGACCGCGTGAGTAGATTCGGAAATTGCTGTAGATGACATGCTATCCTCGAAGTTAGGATGAATTGGCGCATGTGGATTGATTGAGTCGTCGCTCCGCTTCGTAGTTTCAGGGACTGATGTGCGTCGCCCAGACAATGATTCATCTGAGGTCGAGATTTGCAGATCTACGATCGCTTCTGGAGGAATGGTGACCTGAGAACAATCTGAGACGCAAGGATTTTCGATACTTGGAACAAAGTTGTTAGATTGTATGGCTTTATGCTGTCGTGTTTTGCGTTTTCGCTGTCTAGGTCAGCATTCCCGGCATGCACAGCGTTGGGATCATTACCTTGGGCGCTATCTTCGATACCGCATTTCTCTCGTTGATCCTTGATGGGCATACGGTCTCTCTGGAGCTCTGGAACGATCCAGAGGTCGGAACGCTTGAAACGCTCTTCCGTTGCTTCATAGTGTCCGAAATGATGGTTGTGCGTGTCAGACTCCGCAACAATCAATCGATCGACATGATTGATTCCTATATAGGTTAAAGAGTTACTTTATTAGGCAGCCTTTAACCTAGATAGGAATCAATCATGCCGATCCGATTGATTGTTGCGGAGTCTGGTGCGTGTGATGTCGGGATTCCAATGCTGCAGAATCTTCTCGAGACACGCGGAGCGGGCTACGTGAGCCTTTTGAAGGCTTACCCACGCTTTAAAGACTCGGCATGAGCCTTTCCGATGGTGGCTAGCGCGCCTTCATGGGGGCCGTGTGATAGGATTCCGTGCCTGCTTGCATCAATATTGCCAAGCAGGCAGCAAGGCTGTAACTGCGTAAGCAGTGTCGGGTGGAGGCTGTGTATTCAGCTGAGCTCGAAACAATGTACAGTCATTAGCGATTACGGCTTCACCCTTGCAGGCAATGTTCCAAAATAGTAGTCATCATTAGATCGACAGTTGACCAATCACATCGCCTCTTCTGCAGCGGACTTCTAACGCTAAGCCATGTACAGAAGGCGGGGTTGCTCAAAACCGTTGCGCGGCTGCGCATAGGGGTGAAGCCTCAATCGCTAATGACTGTAGCTTGTTGGGTCGTGGCCCAGTTATCGTCAAGGCCCTTAATGGCTAGCAGGAAGTCGCGTTGAGCTCGCGGTGATGTGACGTCAGGCAGCTTGACTGCCTCACACATCCACACGACGTGCAGCTACTCCTCAAGCTAACTCTCATAGTTGTCAACAATCAAGCCAATCCAAGCTGAGGCGTTAGCTTGGATTGCTCGTTTTTTTAGGGCGTCAGCTTAGATTGTTAGGGCTAACAAGCTGAGATCGTAAGCTTGATTGAGGCTTGATTGATAGGCTTGATAGCCTGTACTAGCGCTAGCCTTAGTGTTGAGTTTCGTCGTCCCAAGTCGCCAGCCCGCACAAAAGCTCCATATTGTCGTCGTCTGCTGCCTCCTCCTCCTCCACTACCTCGTCGTCGCCTCCGAGGCCAGCTCTTTGCCACCGTCGTACGCACTGTATTGCCGCTAGAAGTTGAGGTTCTAGACGTCGTCGTCGCGGCTTTAAGAGGTCGCCCAGCTTACTGAACAGTCGCTCACACTCACAGCTTGACGCTGGGATAGAGAGTACGTCAAGCGCGAGCTTATTAAAGCTAGGGTAGCAATCGCGCATGCTCACCCAGTATTTGATAGGGTTATCTGCGTGTTCTATACCTCTCTTAGCTGCTGGCTCGCTGCGCTTCCACCTCTTAAACTCGTCCTCGTCAGCAGTAAGGCTACTAGCAGAACTAAGGTTAAGTATACTATCGATCGCGTCGTCTATATCGCTTGGGATTACTGCTGAGGGCCTTATTGCGCGCGGTGAGGTGTTGTACTGCGCCCAGAGCGCCTGAAAGCTAGCGTTACTGGCCTCAAGCCAGTCGGGCTTCTTAGCCCACGCCTTATCGCAGTAGTACTTGTACATCGGATGGAGTATTGTAGCAGCGTAGTACACGGGCGAGTCGTCTAGCTTAGAGTAATAGTCATCGGCTTTCTGCCAAGCTGCGCGCAAGTTAATTGCAATATGATCCTCAGGCGACTTATCGTGCTTGTTGTAGTTAACCGCCTTATACGCGTTGACGCGCTGCTCGTAGTAGGTAAGGGGGTATTCGAATATTAGAATTATCTCAGCAATAGCCCCAAAGCTGCCGCCTTTGCCGCGCCCTTCGAGGCGCTTTGTAGCAGTCTTGAGCGGTTTTAAGATGTCTATGTACTCTGTAATTACTGCCCAATCAGCACCTGTAAGGCCGTCTGATCTCATCCACGGCTGCGCAACTGGCAGCTTGTTGCCGCGACTTTGCGCAAAAGTGTCCTCCCTTTGCACCCGCTGTATATGGTGAGTAGCGTAGGCGTTGACTGCAAACTGCAGCTTTACGGCACGCTCAAAGCATAAGTAGTACGAGTTCCACCGCGTAACGACGGGTTTAACAGGCTCGAGGATCTTGCGATCGTCGGCTGACGCGCTGGACGGCAGCTCAGCGTGGGTGAGGCGCTAGAAGTCCTCGAAGAGCTTATGCTGTTGCGGCGTTTTAATGTAGTTCATGATACTGAGCAGTACGCCGAGTGGGCCTACGCGTCTCCACTCCTCTATGAAGTCGTGCTCGTCGGTGAGCTCTTGTACATCGTTGTCGAACGAGGCGGCGCTGCCCTTGCCCCAGAGGAGCGTCTAGCCGATAAGGTTGAGCATGTGAGGTCCGCAGCGGAGGCGCCGGTGAGTGGCATTAAAACCGTACTCTTGAGCTAATATTGCAACAGTACTGTCATTGTTAGTAGCGTTATCAAGTACAAAGTAACCAATCAATTGCAAGGGGATCTTAAAGTCCTGCAGCGTTTTTATAACAACCTCAGCCATTCTCTGTAACGGGCTGAGCCCTAAGGTCACATGACTAGGCCGCTGGCCTAGTCGCTTCCTTCCTTTTATCACTCCTTCCCCCAGCAGCCCGTGCGTCGTGCGCCGTGCGCCAACCCAAACAAAGCGGGATGGCCGCCCACTTTCCTCTTCTTCTCTTCATCTCGACTGTAAATAGCATCTGGATTAGGTAGCTGGAATACAGTACCTACAGACCGTTCACAAAAAGGAGGAAGATCTTATCACAATTGCTGGTAACTTAGCAATACAGTTAGTACGCGCTTGGCTACGGGATGGTTTAGGTGTTGAAGGAGAAACTTCAGAGTCTCTACTTAGCGACAAGGCAATTAACGTCATGTACAACTTAGGGAATTGGTACGAAAGCGAGGCCTAATTTGTATGTAAAAAAGTTATTAGTTTAAATAAGTTACATACCTAATTAGTTGAGTTCGGGCTTTGCTAAGAGACAATTCAATCAGTTTGCTTAGATTTTTCAGCCTGCTTTCTGTTGGAGTGGGTGAACCGTACGCATAGGGAAGAAGTTGAGGATTGACTGAGGTTGTATTGTACAAGCTATGGAAAGTTTATGTAGGTGAGTGACCATAAACAGCGCTAGTCTCAGATAGGCATCGTCCCATCACCAAACCGTGACAGATGGATCTCGTGCCGGTTGACGAAGCGAGTAACCCAGCTCTCGCTGAGCTGCTGACGGGCTACTTCTGATGAGAAATTCCTGATCATCTCCCTCGTAGGAGGTAGGCCTTGCTTAGTAAGCTTAGTGATATATCGTACAAGCTCTAACTCCTGTTGTGGGTTGAGAGCTTGCCTGCTGGCATGCCCAGCATCCCTAGGCCCTGTCACGCCTCTCCATCGCCGCCCTAGAGTTGACCGGTCAACGCCATGCTTTTCAGCAACTTCCTTCAATGTGAATTGTTCTTCTGAACCTCGCGATTTTAGATCT